ATATAGGATAAATTGTGACCTGGACCTGGGAAAATATACTTATGTGACTATATTGCTGCATTACATATTACTGTGTTTCCCTGAAAATAAGGCCTCCCCCCAAAATAAGCCCTAGCAGGATTTCTATGCATTTGTTAAATATAAGCCCTACTGTAGGGCACACCAAGAGCCAGATGACATCTGAGCAAGATGATCTGCAGCTGAGGGGTGGACCTCGGGGGCATTCATCCGCAGGTGCTCCTTGTGGAAGAAGAGCCCAATCCTTTAGCACGGAGTCATTTGTTAATTACTCCCCTCACCTGTGTTGTAAGGTCTCAATAAAAAGGCTAGTGTGGAGGTTGCTTGAGGCTACCCTGAAAGTAAGGGCTAGCCCATCTCCCACAAGCTTATACTTCTAATCCGTGTCATGCCTGGTTCCTTCTTGCAGGGATTGAGACCAGGGCCATAGGGGCCCCATGGGTCGCAACACCCTACCCCAATAATAAGACCTAGTGATGGGCCTGGCTATGCAGCGTATCTGCATAGCCACACCATGTATTTCAGCGCAGAGCAGTAAGGAAGACTGGAATACCTTTTATCTGCCATAGCTCCTTTTCCCGAGTCATTCGCACTTTCGCAGGTGCACATGTGCTAACCGTGGTCACAGGCATCCTATCGCGCATGTGCGAATGGCTAGAGGAAAGGCGTTCATGCCTCACTAACACCAGCCCCACCAGGGTCGGCTTCCCCTGTCAGGTTCCAGAAGAAGATGACTTAACTGTATTTGAATAAATGTAGATTGTTGTATTATACTTAATAAAAATAAGACATCCCCTGAAAATAAGCCCTAGTGTGTCTTCTTGAGAAAAAAATAAATATAAGACAGTGTCTTATTTTCGGGGAAACACGGTATATGTCTGTAGTATTTTCCTTCTTTCCTTGTTCTGGGTGGCTAACCTCCCAGAATTATAGCAGGGGCAAGGGAAAGGATGTATCTCTTTTTCCAGGTTACTACATTACTCAAAATAGCAGAAAGTTATATGGCTATACTTTTTTTAAAACACAGGTCACCTCAAGCAAGAAGAGAGTAGAATGTATTTGAGCAATGCTGTATGTCCTTCTGTTAGGATGGTTCTAGGGCCGGGGTCCTGAAAGAGAGGCCTAGAGAGTGAATTCACGTGACCTGGAATGATGGACTAGGGATGTCTGTCTGGAGATGCCAACTGGCTGGTCAGGGCAGACATTGTAGGGAGCCATGACTTTGGTTCAGGGGTTGTTCTTCAGTTGTGTAGTTCAAAAGCTCAGCTTTGTAGGCCTCCTCAGATGACCAGCTTCTTGGCTGTTATTTTATGCTAAATAAATTCCCAATTGCTACTATATAAATTAAAATGCTATACCTATATCAGACTCCCAACTCTGTTTTTTGAATTTTCACTCTTAGGATAACCAGCCATCCCAGACTGTCCACAACTGTCCTACTGTTAGCACCAAAAGTTCTATATCCAGAAGAAACCCCTCAGACTTAGGGAGAGCCTTTAATCCTGGGGTGGTTGGTCACCCCGTTTCACTCCCTGCCCCGCTTAGTGGCTGCAGCAAGGGAGGAGCATTTGCACTGCATCTGTGCAATCTGCCCAGAGCGTAGGTCGTGAACAGCCTGCAGTCATTGCGAGCAGTGCATTAGCCCTTGCAGAGCAGGATGCAATGTCGGGGAGGATCAACACTCCTGCTTCTCAAGTCTGGCCAGATATTGCCGTTCTGCTTATCTATTGCCATGTAACAAATGACTGCAAAATTTAGAGGCTTAAAACAATATTGCCTTATTATCTCTTCCGAGATTTGGGAAAGAGTCAGCTGGCAGTTCTGGCTCCCTCAGTAAGATAGTAAGATAGTACCTATAGCTAGAACATCGGGGGACTGGTCAATACATCTGTGTTCATGCCGTCTCAGGGCCTCTCCAGAGCCCCCCTGTATGGGCTACTTTAAACTTTCTCATAACACAGTGGCCTGGAGGCATCTGAATACTTATTTAGCATTTGGGGGTCCAGAGCAAACATTCCAGGAAACAAGTATGGCCTCAATGTCTCGCATGAGCTTTATGGACGCCCTGTGTTACTGCCTAACGTTGTTTCCACCATAGCCCCAAGATTCAAGGGGCAGGAATAGACCCCATTTCTTTTTCTGTTTTGTTTTGTTTTAAAGGCAGAGTCTTACTTTGTCACCTTTGATAGAGTGCTGTGTCGTCATAGCTCACAGCAATCTCAAACTCTTGGCTCAAACAATCTCTTACCTCAGCCTCTTGAGTAGCTGGGACTACAGGTGCCTGCCACAATGCCCGCTATTTTTAGATATGGGTCTCACTGTTGCTCAGGCTGGTTTTGAACTCCTGAGCTCAAGTGATCCACTTGTCTTGGCCTGCCAGAGAGCTGGGATTGCAGGTGTGAGCCACCATGCCTGGCTAGACCCTACTTCTTTTTTTGCAGTTTTTGGCCAGGGCTGGGTTTGAACCTGCCACCTTTGGCATATGGGGCCGGTGCCCTACTCCTTTGAGCCACAGGTGCCGTCCCTTCCTACTTCTTCTTTTTTTTTTTTTTTTTTGAGACAGAGCTTCAAGCTGTCACCCTGGGTAGAGTGCTGTGGCATCACAGCTCACAGGAACCTCCAACTCTTGAGCTTAAGTGATTCTCTTGCCTCAGCCTCCCGAGTAGCTGGGACTACGGGCGCCCACAACACCTGGCTATTTTTGACTGTAGTTGTCATTGATGTTTGGCAGGCCTGGGCTGGATTCGAACCCACCAGCTCCTGTGTATGTGGCTGGCGCCTTAGCTGCTTGAGCTACAGGCGCCAAGCCGAGACCCAACTTCTTGGGGTTTGAAATATCAACATTACATTGTAAGAAGAAGTGTTGGGATGGAGAGATTATTTTAACAATCTTAAGAAAATACAACCAACTAGAATTATCTTGAACCCAAAGATTTGCAAAAAGCAGTTTTTCATTAATAAAATAGTGATGTTCTCCTGAAGAAAACAGAGAAAGGAGGACAACTTGGGTAAATGCCTTGACCATGTGCTAAATGCAGTTGGGCTTTAGGAAGAAACGACACCAGCCGCTGTTTGCCTCATGTTGCCGCTCACCACCTTCCTGCTTCCTTCTCTCTTTTCTTTTTTTTTTTTTTCTTTTCTACTCTTTCTTTTCCTTTCTTTTTTTTTTATTTTATGAAAATGTATAGGGTACATGAAAAATCTTGTTGCATGTATAATGTGTGGCTATCAAGTCAGTATTTAGGGCATCCATCCCTCAAGTACAATAGGTTTCTGTTAAGTATAGTTACCCTGCTCTGCTATCAAATGTTGAAATCACACATTTCTTTCTCTAATATTATTTTGTAATTCTTTTTTATATAGAAATATAATTGATTTTGTATAGTTATTTTGAAGTTAGCTATATCGCTGAATTTTGCTGTTGCTTTTGGTAACTTGCAAGTAACTTGGAAGTAATGAAATTTGTATTTTTTTTTTTACAAATTATTGGGATTTTCAAGTTATCATAATTGTACTAGCTAGGATCTTCAACTTTACTAGGAGTGGTGGTAATGAGTACACTTATAATTGATTTGTAGATCATGCTTTTGTTTCCTTATAAAATCGATACATTTGTCCCAATGTTAATCTTCAAAGACTATGTCAATGTTTTGCCTATAGTTGATGTTCTGTAAATATTCATGGAATAAAAGAGCCTGAAATAAAAACAAAAAAAAAAAGGAATCACACATTTAATTTACTCCTCCTGTTTTACTGTGTGTTTGTACAAACGCTACTCTTCATTCTCTTCTCCTCTTCCCCTCACCCTTCCCAGTCTCTGATATCGATTTTTTGACTCTTTACCTGCAAGTGTTCAAGTTTTTTAGCTCTCAGATACAAATGAGAACATGCAATGTTTTTCTTTTTGTGCTTGGCCTGTTTCACCTAAGATATGATCTCCAGTTCCATCCATGTTGCTACACATGACATTGCTGAGTAGTATTCAGTTGTGTATACATGCCACATTTTCCTTATCTGTTTATCTGTAATAGCCTCCATTTGTAAGTGCAAGTTCAAACAGTTGGATGTTTGTAACTCAGGGAACTACCTGTATGTACATCTACATATACATGTGTGTATTCCTTCCTCCTGTCCATTCCACTGACCAAGATAGATATGGCAAAGATTCTTTTGTTCCCATAGTTAATTTTGGGGGCATGTGTGTGGTGTGCGTGTTTGCGTGCATGTATGTACCTTGAGGGGATGGGGAGAGAGGAGTAATGACATTAGTGTCACAGAATGAGTCAGGCTGAAAGGAAGGAAGCATTCCCAGCAAGAAAGGACACTGAAGACATCTATGGCTGGAGAGGAAACAAGAGTACAAGGGCAGTGGCCGAAGTGAAGGACAAATATACCGATGGCGTCATTTTAGTCTGGTCATTTGGTTTAATGTGCGGATGTTAAGGTCTGGCCCAGCTGTTAGACTGCCTCTCTCCAATTGGCTTGAGACCCATGAGTTATTTCTTCCTGGTGTCCTCCACTTTCTCCTTCCTGGGCAATAGAAACCAGGCTATTTAAAACACAAACAAACTTTACAAAACAACTAATGCATCTATATGAGGAATTTATTGACAGCACTATTTTGGACAAGTTTTAGGAAAGCATGATGCAAATCTTAAATTTTTAAGCTGATATTTTAGTGGCTTGTTATACGTTTAATTTTGTAACTTCAGTTTTATGAATCTTGCATGAATTCTGTTGTTTTTTCCTAATCTCATACTGGTATTCTATTGAGAAAAATTTTCAAAAATTAAGAAACCAGGGGTGGTGCCTGTGGCTCAAAGAAGTAAGGCGCCGGCCCCAGATGCTGGAGGTGGTGGGTTCAAACCCAGCCCCGGCCAAAAAAAAAAAAAAAAATTAAGAAACCATAGTGTAAGAGATTATAATTTTGAGCCACTGCATGTTTAAAAAGACATTGTGTATGTTTGGGCTGTAGGAGTACTGTAACACGGTCCGGCTGGATTCTGGGATAGATTACCGGAAAAGGGAACTTCCTGCTGCAGGAAAACTCTACTACCTGTAAGTTACTGTTTGTTTGTTTTTATTTTAATTTTTAAAGTTTAATATCTAATACTCAGGAAAAGAGAATAATAAGTGGTTTAATTATTGGAATGTGGAAGGCTAGTTCTGAAGAGTACAATATTTAAACTCCAAAATGTTATCGTGTTAACTTCTTTAAACTGTGTTTAATCATTCATATTTGGATCATTTCTAAGCTGTGACTGGATGAAACCCTAATTAGTTTTGGAGGAGGAATGATAACAGATGGTTAGAATGTAATGAGTATCTTCTCGTAAGAGACTCTACTATTAAGAGAGTATCTTTACTGTGCTAATGTAATTAATTATTTGTGGACATCTTCTGACAAGTGTGCCATTTTCATTCTTCAAAAACTGTTGTTTTATTCTTTCGGACAATCTATATTTATCCCTGTTGATTGACTTACATACATAACTGATGTTAAATACATGTACATAACTACAACTGGATTTTTTTTTTTTTGTCTTTTAAAAGATGAGATTCTCCTGAGTAGGAGCAATTTATAATAATAGATATATTCAGCGTGTGCAGTTAATTCTGTAGAATAGATAGAGTTTGTTTTACAGTGTCCTTTGTGAGAACCTGAAAAGGGAAAAGTGCTTTACAAAAGCAAACCGTCATTTAGTATACGCCAACACTGGCTGGCGCATAGTGGGTTCTCAGTAAGTAGATCTGTCGAAGAGCTAATTGTAATTTAACTAAAAGGCATGTTTCTGGTAATTTAAATTTTGATGACAATGTGCATATGAGAGGTCGAAAAAAGTTCTTGTCTCTGCCACCTTGTAAGCAGAAGTACTTTACTGTTTTTGAAGCAGAAATTAGCTAGAAAAATCACATAATTAAAATTGCATGCTTTACAGTGTACTGAGGGGACTATTTTAGTTTATTATTCATATTCTGATGATTATTACTGAAGGTTCTTCATCTATCTTTAAGTACTTTGTCTTTAAATTACTTTCTAATTAAAAAAAAAATTCTTACAGTACTTTGTCTGCCTAAACTTGAACTTTTTCCTTTCTGTTTCTTTTCTGCTTGTGTCTATTGGTTATGTTATTTTTCTGATATTTGTAGCATTTCTCTGCTGTCTATTTCTTGATATTCCAGATGTGTGGTACCAATAAATTAATTTATTATTCTCTTTATTCTTTATTAAAGGAGATAGTTCTTATTCCCTGTTTTTCCACAAAGTATACCTCCCCTTATGGAAGAATTAAACATTTTTTAGTGGGAAATTTCTTAAATAAAGATGGTACTCAGATTCTATTATAAACATGGAATTTGTATCATAGTGCCAAAAGGATTCTCTGACTTTACTGCAGGTATAAAGGCTGCTTTTGCTAGGAGCATAGATAGCCAGCCTCTCTCTCTGACCTACCCTGTATTATTCCTTCCTCTTCCTGAGGACAGCAATGCAGTTCTAACTGAGGAATTCATCTGGAAACAGGTTTAGGACGAAAACAGATTCTGACAATGTCCCAGAGTCCAGAAAACTAGAATCTACAAAGAATGCCACAAAATGCTTAAAAATATATAAATTTAATCCAAGATAAATTTGTTCTTGAATTTAACATCACAAGAGCTTGATCAGAGCCCAGGAATAGAGATGTCCAAGAATAGAGAGCCCAAGGGCACACCTGGATGGAGGAGGGGGCAGATAAACACAGTGTGTATCCCTGAGGGGAATTAGGAGCTACAGGCATCTCAGAAGTGTGAAAACTGTATTAGATGCCAAGACAGATGCTGGGGACATGTACTGTGCTGTTTCCCATGAGCCCTTGGGTAGAACCTCTCCATGACAAAGTAAAAGGAATCTCCTAAGGTCATGTTAATATTTGATTTAATTAGGATTCCTTTTATTTTACTCGCGTGCAAAAACGTTAACTTTCCTCCAAAACAGACTTTGAAGTATTATGCTATATAGTGCCCTGTTAAAACGTGTTTCTCCTTATTACCCTCCGGTCAGACATCTGGAATTGGTTCCTGAATATGCAAGTCCAGACTTCTCTCGTGGCAATTTCCCGGGAGTCTCAACTGCCTGAAAAGAAAAACAAAATTCTAGCTTCCCTCTGGGGGAACACTGAGCACTATCTCAGGATTTCACATAAGTCGAATCCCTTATATGATCTTCACCTAAGTAAAAATATTCAGTAACTTAGCATTTTATTAGTTTAATTTTCCAAAGGTAAATTAAAGGGTCCAAAAACCACAATCTAAATAATATTAAGAATTACCAGAGATTTAAGAAACTACCCAAAAGGTAGGCATGGAGCAAGTTATATAATGCCTGACATTGTATGGATGCCGCAAGGACGAATCCACACAAGACGCTGCATGTTCATTTGTGATCTGTTTCAGTTGTCATTTTATATGACATTAAATTTGGAAGTCCTCGAGTACCTTTACAAATAAATTCCAGATATTTTTGGTTTACTCAAGAAGTTTTTAATATCACATACCACAAACTCAGATGATTTAAATTTAGCAAGTTACAAAACAGAGAATTGAGTGCAAATACCTGAACTTTAACGAGGTTAAAACACCCCATGTTTTTCCAGTTTTTCATTCTGTGCTAAATGTGTTAATAGGATCACCACAGAAATGAGCACATTTAGTTTCTTCTTGGTTGCTTGGTGGATAGGGCTCAATATATCCCATGTGTGGAATTTGGTACGTCAAAATCCAGACAGATCAGCCCAGCACTGGGCCTCCTGGTTGCATCAGGATGGGATCTTGGACTGGTTACTTACTTTGAACTGCCCAGTGTTTGTCAAGGTGGCCCCATTTTATGCTTCAGGAGAATTGAACTGCTTCAGCTTAGCTCTCTGCTTGGGGGCTGATGGCGTCAGGGGTTATCGTTTTATATAAGCCATGAGCCTGGCTTTTTAAACTGGCAACACTGCTGCTGAGGGGCCATACATTGCCCCCAGGACATTTTACCGTCACTTTGGGGAAGGGTTACTGGTTTCCTGGGGAGAGGAGTTAGGGTTACTTTGGTCTTACCTGTGCTCTCTCTTTTTCACTCTGGAGCTGAGAAGTATGGATTCTTTTTTTCCCTAAGTTTGTTGAAGGATGTGTTTGAGGTGAGGGTGTCTATTCAGATGCCACATCTCTGCCATACTAACACACAGACACCCCCAGCACAGGGCCTTAAAGGGAAGGTTTTAAACTGAACTAAAAAGGGTGGGAGCAGGGACTGAACCTGGGATTTTATTTTATTTATAAGCTCATAGATGTCTTATTATTTCATGGATCCTGGCACGAGACACTAGAGATCTGGGTCAGAGAAAAAGGGTTTGGTGCTAACAGCAGCACGAGCCTTAGCATATGGTGCCACTTCCCTTCTTGCTCCTTAGTCCCAGGGCGTGGAGGGGAGTTTTGCTGAGGGCCCAGATGATTCCTGCAGAGGCGTGCATTGTGTTGTAGCAGAGGAACTCTGAGCTTGCAGAATCTACTACTATTTCACAGGGAGAAGGAAGCAAGTCTGCTTTTTGTGTCAAGAGAGACGTTGTCTCATCTTTCAGGGTTGCTCACTACAAACATGACTTTGAGAAGTGGCCCAGACCTTGCATTCTTGGCATATTCAGCAAGGAGAGACTGAAGGAGGAGTGCTTCTCCCAACAGGGCGCATTCGCCAGCCTTCAGTCTTATGGAGACCAGGCTTCCTCCCTTTGTTTCAGTTGGCTCCTGTCCACTGAAGCCTCCACCACTCCAGCAAAATGGCCTCCAAAGCACGTGGTGCAGGTGTTTAATACTTCAATTAAATTGTCTCAAGACCATTTTAGTTTCATGTATATGGGGATTATGGATCATCCTAAAAGTGGTGAAAAATAGAATTTACAACTTTTTAGACACAGCCCAAATAGTCACATATTTTTAGCTATTGATCTGTCTTTTGAACAGATTTCAATAAAAAGTTTCTTTTTAAATACTTTTACTAATGGATATTTCATGTCTTAAGCATTCTTAGTTTTCCACTTGGGAAACATCTATTCCAAATAGAAAGTCATTCTGGAGAATAAATCTTTGAACATCATTAAAACAAAAAATACAACAGTTAGAAGAAAGGTCTGTAAAACTAAGACTAGAACTTATATACATTAAACATAGCTCCCCCCAGTTAAAACCTTCACGTGTCTTGCCTCTGACATTACTAACAAATGTCCCCCTGCCCTCAACAGAGAGAACCAGATCAATGAAAAAAAAAATTTTTTTTTTTGAGACAGAGCCTCAAGCTATCCCCCTGGGTAGAGTGCCGTGGCACCACAGCTCACAGCAACCTCCAACTCCTGGGCTCAAGCGAGTCTCTTGCCTCAGCCTCCCAAGTAGCTGGGACCACAAGCGCCCGCCACAATGCCCGGCTATTTTTTTTGGTTGCAGCCGTCATTGTTGTTTGGCGGCCCGGGCTGGATTCGAACCTGCCACCTTAGGTGTATGTGGCTGGCGCCTTAGCCACTTGAGCCACAGGCGCCGAGCCCAGATCAATAAAAATTAAAAACATTTCTCAGGTCAGTTGTCCCATCTTCCCACACCTAAAACTTTGGCAGACATCTAGCTTCTGCCTAGATGAATGCTACATTCTGGTTCAGCAGGATGTCTAGGACATCTTGGGACATCCCCCCATCCCTCATCATTGCTGTCTCAGGTGTTTCTATCCTAGACATTGGAATTTGCTGTTTCAGTCTTAGTTTTTCTTATCAGTTAGGTAACCAGCCCAGGCATTTCCCTGTTCAATTCCTACTGAAGAACTATTGAAACATCTGCCAAGAGAAGCAACTTGAAAATTTTAAGTCTGGCCCTTTTCCTTTTAGATTGTTAATTTGTTTCAATATCTTGTACTAGACTGCCCTGAGTCTCTGTGCATATTCCATGGAAACAATTTAACTCTCATTGCCTATAAAAACTTTTTTTTTTTTTTTGAGACAGAGTTTCACTATGTTGCTCAGTAGAGCACAGCAATCTCCAACTCTTGGGCTCCAGTG